CGCTTGCATCGACAATTGGGTGATTTGTTTAATTGAGAGAATAGCTTGAAGTTTCGCAAACCTACTCTCCCAATGTTGGAGTTGTTCTCCTGAGGCACAAAGATGCTTGTCGGTTTCATCTCTAATAAAGTCTATCGGTCTATACGACACATTTGGGTCTTCGCTTAACCTGCATGAAAATAATGTGAGCGCAAGTTCCTTTCCTTTATACTTTTATTTCGGAGGCATTGACAACGTTGGTGGAATGAGATCGATAAGCCTATGAATTATCACACAATTCTCTCTCTCTCTCTCTCTCTCTCTCTATATATATATATATATATATATATATATTATATATACACAGAGAGAGAGAGAGAAGGCAAGACTCTTTTGGCGACTACCTTGAGCAGAGAGGTTCTCGGCTTGGGATTGTGTGTGAGGCAGAGAGTAAAACATGTTTTGAAATGACTGGCCCCAGTTTGAACTTTGATTGAGTGAATACTGGGAGAGAGGTGAGCGGCAGGTTCCAAAATTTTCTTCGTGCGTGAAGAGTGAATGGCCAGGAGAGATGAACATGAGTTTTGAAGGTCTTTATATGCTGCATTTCCTTCGTTGCCAGTCCCGCTAGTTCCAATTGCAGTTATATGTGGTACGGAAGCTGTGCGTATGGTATAGGAAATAAAGGTGGAAGACATGCGTTGGACTACAATCTCTTGCAAACAGGAGTTGGAGGTTTTTATTGCTGTCTCCTTTTCGCACGCCCACACTCTATTAACTACCCGTGAGAGAGGTGAGAGAGGAAACGGAGAATAAAGCAGCAACAGATAACATGATGTTTAGGTGGGAGTAGTTCCAGGTTTTAATTTTATCAGTTATTCCTCTCGTTTTTTATTTTATTTTAAGGGTCAACAGACGTGTTTGTTATATGCACATGACAGGAATGTGCTCTAGTGTAGAATGGCATGCCACTTCTCGTTCAACAAAACTCCTACAGTGTACTTGATTACAAGCTAGGATGAACCAAGAGGACTCGTTTACATGCTAGTCACCTCAATCATCAGCCTTCCAAGCGACGATCATTTAACCCTTTCACACATCTTATATCCTGAAATATTATATGTTACCCATATATCCACTATCATCATTTTAAATATATCATCTCTATATAAAACTCAGTTCTGAAATGCTATGCAATCTCATAATATTACTTACATGTGTTTGTGCTAATTTGTCAACAAATTCAATTACCTTATTGGCAAACAATATGCTGACTTGGTAAATTTGTCCATGGCTTTTTTATGGTGTATGCAAGTGCATGTGCTGCACAAATATTATAATCTAAGTAGAGTATCATTCTCACGAGAATCACAATTATGATTTTAATAAGTTAATTGGTAATCTCTTAACTCTTATTCAGCCACTGTTCAAAGTTTTTGTTTTTAATTCTTTAATTTTTTTTAAACGAAATTTTTTAAGAGAGGTTCTGACTTTAAAAATGAGTGATTGATAATTTTGAATTTATAATTCACAAACATACTATACTTAAATCCAAATTTTGTGTTTAATAAAAAGCATTTGTTAATTAAGAGTTTTTATATCTTATAATCTCTTTCGATAACATAAAAGTTCGAACTTTATTAATTAATTCATTATATTCTTATGTGTATTAAGGCCAGAAGATTCCATTAATTTTTTACTTTTAAGAGATTGCCAGCATTAATTGAGTATAGTTCTATCTCGATTCTTTCTTGTTGGTATATTTTACTCGAGCATCAAATTATTATTTCGATATCATTCAACATTAGCTATACTAAATTGAACATTGGCCACATGATCTAAATGAAAGACGATGTATCAAACAATTCTAAGAAGATAATAAACAAATGAGAACTTTTTCATTAAAGTGATATAAGATTATTACACTATAAATCCAGAAAATAACTTACTTATCCATAAAATTTATCGTACACATTAAGGCAAATGTTCATTCAATCTCAAATAAAGAAAGAAGAAAATGGAATTTGAAGATATGATCTTATTGAATTTGCAATATAGAACTTTGAGCCTTTGCTCTTCTTCCTTCAATTGTTTTTTATCTTCACTTGTTACTCATAACACTATTCAAGTGACTAAGTTATACTCTAGCACTCTAACACTCTCTTCTACTCTCCAACTTTTAACAAGTGATTCCTCATCTGATAACTCCCATAACTTCTCAAAAAACTCCCCAATCCATTTCTAAAATTGTTTCAAAATTGATTGGTTGGGCCTATCGCCATCATCACTGCAGATTGTAGTGTTGAGGCATTGCCTGTAGTACTACGGGCCCATAAGTCAACATCAAGGAGCTAAACTCTTCGACTACAGGCTTGATTTGGGCTCATTTTGGTTGTGAGGAGCTTCAATATATTACATTGAAATTTCATACTCTCTGCCTTTAAATTATTTTCTTCTGGTAACTAGAGATGCAACACTAAAATCCAATGTCAAGGCACTAAGCTGTCAGATTTGTGAATATTTTTTGTGCCTGTGAAGTGCCATGTCGTCGTATAGTAGAGCTAAGTAATCATACGCACAGCATTGCAACACTATTTTTTCAGCGCTCCGGCACCATGATCTCTATTTTCTTGATTATTTTACACTCAATATGGTGTCGCAGCGCTGTAAATGCAACACGCCCAAGCGCTGTCTTACATTTCCTTAGATCTTCATTTCATATATTGTTCTGTGAAAGCTCCTTCCAAAGATTACATAATTATTGATAATTATTTGAAATTTAATATTATACTTTCTACTCAATTCACTGAACAAATACCTTCAAACTCAATTTATTACTTATTCTCAAGTAATTACATTTATTATTGTATTTTTGATTTATTTGATAGCAATTATCTTGAAATTTAAACTTCATTAAAGAATAAATTAGATGAAAATTATTTTTGCATACATAGTTATTAATCATGAATAATAATTAATTATACAATTAGTAGCTAAATTCTTATTTTAATTAATATTTCTATGACCTATAGTTTCTTTAATGTTTTTTAGTGGTTTAATTGACTCTCCATGAATTTTGAGTAGTCAAAGTTTATAAAATTTAATCATTTGGCATTTAAATAACCACAATTTTTTTTAACATAATACATTTAGCTAAATTTGATAAAATTTTGATTAAAAAATTAAAAGAATAGGTGGTGCTAATTTTTTATTTAATGCATAAACCTCAAGGTTTCTTCTTCTTCACCTTTTAAAGATTTTTTTATTTCTATTGTAGAAAAGCATTTTATTGCTAAGTATCGTTTAAATGATTTATAATTCCATTTAATTCTTCTATGTATTTAAATTCATCAAATTATTATTTTAAATTCTTACTTTATGTATTTTGCTTCAATTGTACTTATCTTGATTATATTACCTAAAATGAAAATGGTTTAATTTTATGATCTATTAAAGTAACTAAATTCAATTCAAGTTAATCATTTATATATGTGTGTTTAGAAGAATATTTTAATAGAAATTATTAGTATTTATAAGAAGTTTAGTTATTATCATGTTAATGTCTTATTCTATAATTATTGACTTCATGCAAGTCTAATTTCTAAATTATTATTTAATTTCATTTAAGTTTAAGATATTGCTAACCAAATATTATATGAAGTCACAATAATTACACAAAATTACAAAAGATACAAGATATATTTAAATAGGAAATATTCAGTAATGGCCCCATGATGATACAAAATTGAGTGCCTAAGCGCTTGAACACACAACAAATGACGTGAAAAAATATGTTCACTACGGCGTTGCTTGCTAGTGAGCTGGCACTATGATGCTACAAACAAAACATAAATTTTAAAAGAATAAAAAACAACAAAAATTGCTACTCAATTCTCTCCAATTCAGAATTTTAAAGATTTTATGAAAAAAATAACAAAATAATAAAACAAAATTAACAAAACAAGACGAGATAAAAACTTTCCATGCTTTGTTCTTCTTATTCTCATGGTCTGTCTTGTTCCCCTTTCTCTTCTACTGCGGTGTGGTAGGGTCCGACGTAAGGTTGGAATTGATGTGCTGTAGGAAAGAATACATGATTAGGGTAATTCAACTGACAGTTCTAAAGTATATGTGCCATGGTTGAGTTGAAATAAGCTTTACATGAATACTGCTAATGTTGTGTCATGTAATAATCAAACTTTTGCACCATCTGCTCTCATCATCTTAATCCTTCATCTGTGGTCTTTTGAAGCTAGGAACCTGCTGTCATTTCATGAACTTGCTTAACTATGGTTCTAGGGGCTCCTCTCTAAAACATAGTGGGGTACTAGGTTGGACACAACTCTCTCTAGGCTCAAAAGATCTAGACCCATATGTTAAAATTTTATTTCTAGTCAATGTTGAATTATGAAACAACTGCTTTTCTGATATGTCTCCTAAAACTCAGCATGAGCACAAAGTTTATAAATGAGTGGGGGGTGCCCAAAATCTATAGTAGTGCTACCTTTCTACATGTTTAGGATAGAATTTTTATGTGATTTTACTTTTACTACAGATACCATTCTGAATACATAATTCAAAATTGTCTGCCCTTAATAACCTCACTAATATTTCTACTTGGCATCAACTTCGCATAAATAATAATGACAAACTTTTGCCTCAGCAGTAATACCTACGGCTGGAAAATTGACTAGTTTTTCCTCCCTCTTCCTGCATTGGACATGACACTCAAGCCTACTAATAAAATTAAAGATATTGTCAAAATCAGTATGCCTATTTTGAAAGGTTGTATAATCATTAAATTCTGCGCTCCTTCACTTGTAGGCAAGGTCTATTATAATACTACCGAATGCTACCCATTTTTCTCTCACATAGACCTTAAGATTTTCACTATGACGACACCCATTACAGTTTCTCTTGGGATTCAATTTTATTATTATTTTTTTTACCTAAAGCAAAGATAAGAGAGTGAAATGGTTTTAGAAGAATGCTTATATTTTCATCTTTATCTTTCTCAACAGGTTTTTGCATTAAAGAAAATAAATACCTCATCTTTGTCCCGTCAGTCATATGAGGGCTTCATTGAATTAGTTTCGAGCATATCTCGGCTTTCTCATCCAAACATTTCTGAGCTAGTTGGCTATTGCTCTGAGCATGGACAGCACTTGCTGGTGTATGAGTTCCATAAGAATGGCTCCCTGCAAGATCTCCTACATCTCGTTGATGAGGATAGCAATCCATTAAGTTGGAACACTCGTGTGAAGATTGCACTTGGAATAGCAAGGGCATTAGAGTGAGTAAGCCCATTTTTTTGTGGTTGTATTTTTCTTTAGAGTGCTGTCTTCTGCTAGCTTTGAAATGAGAAAACATTTATTTTCATTTTCTAGTTGCTACAGCATCTCTAACAAGCCTTTGCTTTAAGATGCTAGTTCAAAAGTGAGAATGTTCATTTATGCATCTTTAGCACTATGAAGCAGGGTTTAAATTGGGTTATAAAATTTTCTTTCAAACAAATCAATAAAACATTATGCATTGAGAAAAATAAATTCAGTTGAAATTAAACAACTAACAATAAATAGATTTTATTGTGGCATGTGCTTGCTAGATTTATATTCTTGGTGTGGATAAATTTTGGGGGAATTTTTTCGTACCAACATAAGGTTTGGTTTGTGCCTTATGGTGATTGAAATGTTGTCAATACATATGTTTGATTTTCCTTTGGAGGTGTGAATTTGATAATTTCCAAAGTTTTATGTTAATCTTTGTTTTTCACATGGAATTTAAATTTTTGGGGACTGTTAATTATCTTGTGAATAAAGCTTGGATTTTTTACTTAATTGAAAGCAAAAATCTTTTTCTAAAATTATACCAACTCATTAAATTATGATTTTTTTGTTGTATTTTTATCTTGCTTCTTATTCTTGGTTGAATTTGAAATACAAAACCGTTAGTTGTCTTACATGAATACAATCAATATCAAAACCGTTGCCCTAATGACTTGCTAGCTTGAAACCCATGCTCTTAGTCACTTCAACGAAATTTGCTATCATTTAACCTTTCAGGGACTTGCCAACTTTAGCAATGATTTGTAAAGGCTAAATATGACTTTTAATAAATTTTAAGAAATTTAAAATGATATATAATTTGAGATAAATATAGTATAAGATAACTAACATGGTATAGAGTTGTATATATATATATATATATATATATAACTATCTCAAAAATGGTAAATACTTTTACAATTATTAGGACTAATTTAGATTTTAATGCTTAAGCTTGGTTGGTTTTAAAACACAAGCATAATCTTGTATATATGAAAACAAAATAAAATAACGTAATTCTACATGTTACTTCATATTCACACGTCAATTTGATGATTATCTTTCTTCAAATTAATAGATGCTTAAATAGTATACAGATGTTTTAAGCTAAAATAAATTATTAGACTTTTTCTAATGTGTATTTGCAATATTAGAATTGAACTCATCAATGGTGTGAGCTCATGTAGTTAACAATTTTTCTTTTTGCTGACTGCAAACCTGTGTTAAAAATAAAATTACAAGTTTATGAGTTATAATGATTTCACCTGAGGTAATGCCTAGTAAAATTTTAAAAATTTTGCTATGTCATCCAAAAAATTAGAGACAAATGCACAATCATTTACACATAGTACAAGCAATGTAAAAAGGTGATTCATTTCATTATTTTATCTAGCAAAATTTTAGTCAAACATATTTCTTGTCAAAGTTTTGCGTGAATAGGCTGAATTCTGAATATGATCGATGTCTTTTCCCTTTGCTTTCATTTCATTAAATAATAATCTTACAATCTATTTTAGGTATAAAATATTATGTATAATCTATTTTAGGTAATTTAATAATGCAGCATATTCCTAATCTAAACTAAATATTCAGCTAACAGGAAACAAATCAGAATAAAGAAATTGAAAATAATTTAAATAAGGAAGCTTCTAATTATAGAGAATTCTTAATGTAGCTGCCTGATTTCCGTCCTTCCTGATTGACAATGCAAATTGTGAAACTAGGTTATTTTTTCTTTTTTTAATATGTGCATGACATTAATTGTTTTTATGGTTGCTCAAGCATTAAAATGTAAATCATCATCAAGATTTATTAAAAATTTATTCATTATGAAAGTCATATATTTTATTAATTACCATGTACTATGCTTTTCTTGAATTAAGTAACATTCTGAAAATTTATTAAAATTCATATTTGGCCCTTACATATCGCAGCTAATATTTAAGTAGATCACTTTTAGAGTTAACTGACCATCATTAGGAATTTAATGGACTACTGCGAAGGTTTAACGGGACTTATTGAACCGTATTTTGGTATTATAATGACTATATTTTGGTGTTGTTCTTTTACATTTTTTTCTTATATGAACATCTAAATTGTGTTCCCTTAATTTCCCTTTTACCTCAATATATCTGTATTTATATCCTACAATTGCATACCTTAAAATAATGGGATAAACTTAAACAAAGTTTACTTTGTTAAAATATTTATTTATTTATTATTTTTTTGTGAGATTGAAAGAAACTTAAAGTTTCCATAATTTTCACTAAACAGAAGTTGTGCAAGACGAATTTGATTAGGCCTTTTCTTTTTATGCTAAGTTTGCTAAAGTCTGGAGGAGGTACCCTTTTCCACTATTCTTCCGCTAAGTAAGAGGAAGTGCAATAATTGTCCAGTAGCTTGTAATTGTAGTGTTTTGGGCGAATAGAATTCTATGTAAGGAGGTGATTAGGTTCAGAAGTAGTCTAGTTGTCCAAATAACATAAATCTCATGTATTTTTTATTTTACTTCCTCTATCTGTTAGCGTTAGTTTAATTTTTGTTGAATTTAGCTTGCTTTATGCTTTATTAATTTTCTTTTGAAAAGTTTTATGATCCAATCCAACCCCAACGCTCTTTTCATTTGTTTTTGCATTCAAGATATCCTCTGGAGTTACCTAGGATGCAATGTTTGATTTCCAAACCACATTCTTTCTTCTATGGCTTCCTTTCAATTAATTCCTACATGTAATTATATGTTGTATATCTTTGTATTTGAGATCATGTATGTCTCCTATCTTCCGAAGCAATTATTGTAAGCCGAACCTATAATTTGGCGCTCTTTTTGATATGTGTTATTTCTATCTCCATGACTATTGTAGGACTAAATATTTTAAAAATATATTAAATCGTACACTACCCTTAGATTTCACCCTCATTTTGCGAAGACTTTTAATATATGAGGTTTGAGGTTTCCCATAGGCCCATACTCTTATGTTAATTATCCCTCCCGATAATAAGAGAGATCTCTTGATTAAGACTAGTCATTTAGGGTTGAATATTTAAGATGTTAGCAATAGATATACGATTTAGATTGTAAAATTTATCACTTTGAGCTTAAAACGGATAGTGGGAGAAATGATAACGAACCTGATCAAGATCTCATGATTTTGTTATCTTGGGTCGTCGTGGTACTTAATCTACTTAATCATAGAAGGTTGTTGAACTAACCTGAATGAAGGATTCTTGTCAATAACCATTGATTGCATTGCATTGTCCAAGAAACCCTTATATATCTGAGGTGAATGTTTGTCTAAAGGGATAAATTTAAATCGACCTTAGCTAACAGAAAACTTGGTGTCAATCAAATGTATCATTATGGTTCACAACTTAAAAGACAGAAAGCCATTGAAAAACATACGGGGTGCGGTCGTAACCGTATTATAATGGTGTCATTTGGCAGTAACCACCTTGTCTGAGAGCTCTAGTCGTAACTGCTATTCTGTAAAGCTTTTGGGTTAAACCATACCGACAAAGGACTTCGGTTATATCCTTACTGGCGTGAATTTTTCTTGTTTGAATGTAATGTTACGCTCGATGTGTCATTAACTCTTTTCGAAGTTAGAAGTTAATCAAAAGTTTGTAACCATCGATAAATTGTTGCATATGATGGATTTGATTTGTTTAATGTTTTTAAGTGGTTAATTTTACGTGGATGTTTAATCTGTTATTTTTGAAAATTTATATTAAAATTGATCTATTCGGTTGAAATTCACAATTACACGATCATCATTGGGAATTTGATTGCTTGAAATTTATTTGAAACTTATTAATTTTGATTTTTTTTTAAAATACTAGTATTTTTAAATTTAATCCTGATGAGAATGATCATATTAGGTGTTTGGACTTGCAAATTTCAAATATGTGATTTAGACATTATTGGAATTTTTTAGACTTGTCAACTCTAATCCTTAAGAGGAGGATAATCAGAGTAGTTGAGTTGGACTTACAGCCCTAACTTATTGACAAAACAATTTAATTGATTAATTTTTAAAATTTGAACTATTTGAGTGTAAGTTTGGCCTTAACTTGCTCATCATTCCTAAGTTATTTATTAAAGCATTTAGAATTTTAGTTAGAGCCCGTGCAGGCATTGGAGTGCATGCAAAGTTACATCTTTGGGCTTTATAAGAGACCGCCTTCTGTTTTCTAGCATGTGTATTGCGGATCCGATGATGAAATTGAAATGTTAAACCCATGATATGTAGAAATTGTTGAATTCTTAAACATTACATATGCTCTAAATTTCTTTTATAAATGAACTATTGCACATTTTCTAAGTGAACTTGCGTGAGCTTCAACCATATTTTAATTCATCTTAATAAAAATAGAGACTCTTATTAAAAGGTTCCTTTCAGTTTACTTTCTTTTAAGTATAATAGTTCAAGTGCTCATTATAATATCTTGCTAGTGATTCTTTGCAAGACTTTTGTGCGCTCTGCTTATCAATTTTATAATTTTGTAATGACTTTCGAAGATAATTTGAGCAATCATTTTTTCTTGAATTTTTATATTTTGATTTCATTCGATAATCAAGTGAGTATATTAATACTCAAATATTTTTATTTTCATATGAAGTTTATTTTAGGCATCTTCCTAGTTCAGATTTCTCATTTTTAAACTCACTTTACATGTTCAAAAGTTCATACAAAATTTGAATCATTTTTATGAATTCAAAAAGGCTTATTTTTAAACTCACTTTACATGTTCAAAAGTTCATATTTTTAAGCCCCAAGTAATCCCAAATATTAAAATTTTAAGCACTTTTATAAGTTCAGAAAGTCCACATTTCCAGTTATTTGTAAATCCAAATTCACGTGAAATTTTGACAGCCTTACGACATCAACTTCCACGGAAGAATATCAACATTCTCAATTGTCTTAATAGAATCGTTGATCATTGTCGTGATATACTATAGCTGAGGGAGCAAAAATATGTATTTTGACCCACGTTCTTAAAACATTTTATAGGCCTTCAATATACCTGCAAAAAAAGATAATCACGAGATCAAGCATTTTCTTGAATAGATATTTTACTTTCTCCGAACGTACTTAATTCTTAATGATTGATATTCAAGTTTCCTTGTGGGTGGGGGATGGAGAAGAGGGGAGTTCGTGAGTTTTTGCGGTTTCTGAATGGAATAAGAGAGGAGGGCTCCGTCTCTCGTGTACAATTTTTGTATTTTTGAGAACAAAAGGGAACAGTTCTCAGACTCGACAAGCAGGAAATGCAGTTTAGGGCATGTGAAATAGCTTAAGATTTACTTAATTTTAATTAAATTTAATCAAACATAATTAATAACACTAAATTTTTTTTAATAATTTTATTGACGTCAACATGAATAAATTAAATTTCTTAATGCTGGTATTTACAAATGAATGTTTCCAGGTACCTGCATGAAGTTTGTTCTCCGTCTGTTGTCCACAAAAATTTCAATTCAGCCAACATCTTAATGGATGCAGAGCTTAATCCTCACGTTTCAGAATGTGGACTAGCATGCCTTATCCCTAATGCAGACTATCGGGTAAGAATATATTTCCAAACGGAGATTTACTTGCAACTGCTTAACATGTTTTTTTTGTCATAGCTGAAATTTATGCTCATGTGATTAATAAACTTTGGAGGTCCATAAGTTTGTAATAAACGGTTTACTCCTTCCTGAACCGTAATAATTTTATTAATGCAAGTAACTTTACGCATTGACATTCTATCCCGTTGTACCATCATTTATGGTTTGTTTACTGCTACTTGCTAAAGTTCCACTATTCGGAGTCTGGTTATCTGTGAAGTGAGAGAATTTGAACTCTTCGCTATCAGAATTGAGTTTGATCCAAATGACAAGTAAATTTTAGGTAAAATCCTTGTGTCCCTTAGAAGAACTAATTTTCTCACTTCGGCAACCAGGCAAACATAGGAAATCTCAGGTTACCCATTCCCCACTTCACGGTGCCCCTTGATAGGCAACGAAACAGCCCCCAACTAATTGAATGGTTCATGAAAAAAAAACCACTCCGATGCCATTATTATTATTATTATTATTATTATTATTATTATTATTATTTAGTTTAATAGTAGTTTTTAATTTATTTATTTTAAATTTTAATTAGTTTACTATTTATTAATTAGTACTGTATGCATTAGTCGGTTTGCTTTATCAAATTGGCTGAAATGCTATTGTTGCACTAAGCCATATATGAAATCAGAGGCGAAGTTGAAATTTTTCTAACAGAGGCATAAATTAACTATCCTCTTCCTTCTAAAAACCGCCCCAAACCCCCTTCTCCCCAATCAACTAGTCATTGCAAATTGAAGGACATTATTCTTATTGGTTCAAATTTATAAATTTGAGTCGGTACATATATGCACTTGTGGGCTTCAAAAATTTCGATGCTCCAGACTCTTGTATTCGTTGAGAGAGCTTTGAGGGTCAAATTATCAGCAGACAGATTGGATTATAGATAAAACACTACTTAGAAATTTCACTTTCATTTTGTGAGGACAATTTGATTTGGGGTATGAGGTTTCCCATAGGCGCAAGCCCTTATGGTTAATTTTACCCCTCTCGATAACATGAGAGCACTTATGATTTAACTTTAATCATTTAGAGTTGAATATTTAGCATATATTAGTAGCAGACATACGATTTTAAATTATAAGCTGATCACCTTGAGCATAAAGCAGATGATTGGGGGAAATGATGACCAACATGATCAAGATCTCATGGTTTTGTCATTACGGGTTGTCGTGGTCCTTGATCTAGTTATGCAGAGGAGGTCGTCGACCCAACCTGACTGAAGGATTCTTATTAGAAATCAAGTGATGCATCGTCCAGGGAGCCTTGAAGATTTGTCTAATGGGATAAATCTAAGTCGATTTTAGCTGATAGAAGACTTTGTGTTATGATTCACAAATCAAAATTTCAAGAGAGTTGGGAACATACATATTGCAATTGTGACTGTAATATGATTGTGTCATTTTGCGGTAATCGTCCGGTCAGAGGGTTCTGGTCGCAACTGTTACTTTTGTGGAGTCTTTTGGTCAAACCACGTAACAGAGAACTCGAATCATATTCATACTAGCTTGATTTTTATTTTTATTTTATTTTTATTTTTTATTTTATTTTTTTTGTGAATAGAGTGATATACTGAATTATGGCATTCGCTCTTTGTGAATTGAATTCAATTAAAAATATTACTCCCTACAAAGTGTTGCAAAGGGTGGATGAAATTTGCTTTAAATTATAAATGATTTAATTTTAAATTAATATTTTAGTTTATTGTTTTGAAAATTTGATATAGAAATCTTAATTTAAAAGATGATCACTCCGGTTGAGATTTTCGGTTAATGCAGTAAAACACTTATATTTAAAATATAATTGAATTTTGTCAGTTTAATGTCTTTAAAATATTACTTATGCGGACTCCAGTACATTCAAGGAGAAGGATCGAACTATGTAATTTGGAATTGTAAATTCTTATATTTATGATTTTAACTTTATTTGAACTTAATAGACTCGTCAACTCCGGTCCTTAAAGAGTACGAGTATCGAACTAGTTGAGCAGGACTTACAACCCTACCTTATGGACATGCTGGCTCGATTGATTGCCTTTTAAAAAATGAGATTAATCAGAGTGAAAAGTTTATTCAAACCCGCACAACATAACATTTATTTGATCCAGTGGACCTTATGCGATCATTTTAAACTTCATATGAATATTTTAAAAGATTTTTTTAAGGGTTTGCACGATCTTTTAACCAATGAATTCAAAATTCATCTCAAGAGGCAAATCCTAGATTTTGAAATTATGTGTGGTTGACTCAACTATATAAATGCCTTGAAGCATTTATAACTATAGAATTTCCTATTTATTATTCACATAAGCATCAAAATTACTTGTCAAGATTCCATGACATTTCATTTAACTTGAGAAATAACCATGAAGTTTGTATAGGTTTGAATACTTTGAAGCCAATCCCTTTAAATTTAAACATTGATTTGATTCAGTGGAGCTTATGCAAGAATTTTAAACTTCGTATTAATGTTTTAAAAGATTTTACAAGTTTTTAAGTGTTTGCACGATCTTTTAATCTATGAATTCAAAATTCATCTCAAGAGACACATCCTATAAATTAAATTGTGTAGTTGATTCAACTATATAAATGTCTTGAAGCATTTATAGCTAAAGAATATCCAACTTATTACTCACATAAGCCTCAAAATTACTCGTCAAGATTCCAAGATATTTCATTTGACTTGAGGAATAACAATGAATTTTGTATAGGTTTTGAAGACATTGAAGCCATTTGAAACTATAAAACTTTATTGGGTATTATCTTATTAGTTTACATGCAAAGTTACATCTTTAGGCTTTAAGAGCGATCACATTCTATTCGCTAGTAGGTGTATTGTGAATCTGGTGTCGAAATATGAAATCCTATATTTGGACTAAGTTACATGCCATCATAGTTTATGCTTTAAATAATTTGAAAGTCCTCATAATCCATATGTTGAATTATTGGCAAGTCTTTGTTAGCTCAAATTTGAATTGATTTTTGAGATAATTACATAAAGAATTCCCAAAACATTGATATTTACAAATTAACCACCTAGGTGATTTTTTTGAACTATCGAACCAATGTATTTACATGTGCTATGATCAAACTATTGAGAATTTGATTAAAATAAAAAATATGTGTTTGGGTTTTACCATGAATTTTGTATTTGAGTGAGAATTTGAAAATTAGATGAAAGAAGGTGGTTTATTGTAAATAGCAAGTTTTAGTTGGCATGTATGTACCCTTGATTTTTAACCTTAACCGTATAAGACTAAAGTTTGAAAATTCTTTATTTTTAAATTAATTTCCAAGTCCTAGGAGTCTAAATTTGAAAATTTTCAATTTCAAATTTATTTTCAAACCCTAGGAGCCTAAGCTTGAAAAAGTCTAAGTTTAATTTGATTTTAAATCCTAAGAGAATATTTTTTCAAATTCAAAAATGCAAAATTGAATTATTTTTGTTGATTAATCCATATTTAAAGTCATTTCATTAAGTCCAAATAGTTCAAATTTTAAAATTATTTGCAAATCTAAATTAAAAGAAAATTTTGGCAACCTCTTGGCGTATATGCCCTCATTTGGGGGCATCAGGAGAATATCAGTATGCCAAGCTGTTTATAAGACATGCTGGTCAATATCATGAGACATTGACTAGGGAAAACACAAACACAAATTTTCTCGAATAGTTACTTTGTTTTCTCTGAACGGTACTTAATTTATTGAATAGGTACTCACATTTCTCAGTATGGTTTAACTTTCTTATGAGTTCGTAATTTTTATGAATGTTACTCAATTTTTCTGGATAGGTACTCGAGCTTTCTCGAATGGTTATTTTAGGAAATTACCATCCCATGTCATCCCCCTTTTATACATTTTCAAGTGAAAACGACAACGTAGTTGAAATGACAAGATAAAGCACATTTTTCTGATATATATATA